CTGAAGTCGAATGAGTTAAACTATGGGATCGCGGAGAAGGAAGTGTTGGCCCTTCTGAGGATCCTGGATCTAAACTACAATACGTTGGTAGGACGTCCGATCCGTGTGCTAACACGACACTCAACATTGGCATGGCTTTTCATTTCCACGGCTTTGCAAGGACGTCTGGGACAATGGGCAGCTCTGTTGTCGCCAGTTGGAGATCCCCAAGTGTGTCAAAGGAGAGGATGAGATCCTGGGAGCACTGGCAGCTAGTATCACCCCCAGATCAGAAGTGGATAAGGCGCTGATCTCAATCGCCCCCAAAAAGGAGCCAAGACGTAAGATCCAAGCTCCGATCCCCACGATCAGACGAGATGAGGAACTATATGTCGTCAGTTTCGATGGATCGGCTCGTGCCAAGAGAGGTGGGGGCGCCTACAGCGCGATCTTGTGGAAGTTGCCCGAGTGGAGAGTGCTGAGGGCTAGATCAGGATATGCCGAAGGCTTGACGGTGAATGAGGCAGAATACCATGGGTTGTTACTATGTTTGGATCTGATGGAAGATCTGGATCCACAGCGTCTTGTGATCTGTGGCGACTCAAACCTAGTGATCCGACAAGTGCGAGGAGAAATCGATTGTAAGGCGCCAGGTCTGACACTGCTCGAGCCTTAGATCGACTGCGTAAATGGCCGGATCATGAACTATTGCACGTCAAGCGAGACTGGAATGGGAGTGCTGACAGCCTAGCAGGGGCTGCTCTACAACGACAATGTGGGATCGAGATAGAGTCTGATGTAGAGATCCAGTATCTCATAACTTTGAATCGGCTAGATGAGATCCTGATAGTGAAAGCCGAGGAAGAGATCGTACAGGTATCAGCGGTGACAACCCGATCGAAGGCTAGATCGGGGGTACGTACTGGATCTGATCCAGGCTCTCTACGAGAGGAAGTCGTGAGAGAGCTACGGAACGAGCGGATCCGACAAGCGCAGGACGAGGAGTCGTGGCTTGAAGAAGTACCTAACCGGAGAGATCCGAGATCTGACACAGGAAGAGGCTAAAATGCTCGGATCTATAGCCATGAATTACGAAGTAGATCAGC